TCTGTTTTGTCATGAACAGGATGGAATTGCAGCTGGAGCTCTCTGTCAACCCCTTGGACACACACCTCGTCCAGTAGCTTATTTTTCTGCAACACTGGACTCAGTAGCCCGTGGGTTCCCACTTTGTCTGAAGGCTGTTGCAGCTGCTGCTGAATTACTTTAAAAAGGCCCAACCTGTCACATTAGGCCACAGCATTATCTTACAGGTCCCTCATGCTGTCTCTGCTCTCTTACAGCGACACCGCACTCAGCACCTATCTGTTCAGAGACAAACCCTGTATGAGAATGTTATCCTCTCTTCCCCAAATGTGGTAATTCAAAGATGTAATGTACTTAACCCAGCTACTTTGACCTCCGGCCTCGAACCCTTCTGGGGGCTCTGTACCCCAGGGGAGCGAGATTTCCCCCTCATCAACAATGTGATGTTGTTACAAAAAAACCAAACATGATTCTGGGGTGCATTCACACATGTGTTGTGAGCAAGACACAAGAAGTCATTCTTCCATTCTACTCTGCACTGATTAGGCCTCAAATGGAGTATTGTGTCCAGTTCTGGGCATCACATTTCAAGAAAGATGTGGAGAAATTGGAGAGGGTCCAAAGAAGAGCAACAAGAATGATTAAAGGTCTAGAAAACATGTCCTCTGGGTTGAGTGGCAGAATTGCATTTGTTTAGTCTGGAAAAGAGATGACTGAGAGGGGACATGATAGCAGCTTTCAAGAACCTAAAAGGATGTTACAAGGAGGAGGGAGAAAAATTGTTCTCCTTGATCTCTGATAGGACAAGAAGCAATGGGCTTAAATTGCAGCAAGATAGATTTAAGTTGGACATTAGGAAAAACTTCCGAACTGTCAGGGTGGTTAAACACTAGAATAAATTGTCTAGGGAAGTTGTGGTATCTCCAGAACTAGAAATATTTAAGAGCAGGTTAGGCAAACATCTATCAGGGATGATTCTAGATAGTGCTTGTTCTGCTACGAGGGCAGGGGATTGGACTTGATGACCTCTTGAGGTTCCTTCCAGTTCAAGTACTCTATGATTCTATGAATCTTTAGTACATTTGGCTTGCATATACTAGTGTTGCAAGGTAAATACCTTGCAATGCTGGCTACAACAGTGCCGTGCAAATTCCTCATCTCACTTTCAGGTGACATTGTAAACACCTTACATTTTCTATTCTGTATTTTAACTGAAATCTATTTAAAAATGTGAAAAATATCCTAAAATATTTGCGTGAATGGTATTCTATTGTAAGAGTACAATTAATCACAAAATTAATTAGGATTAATTTTTTAAATCACTTGACAGCCCTAATTTAAATCCATTGTGGCAGAACAGGGGAGAGATGTTTGGCAAATACAACCCGCTTCATCTAGGCTTAATCTCCCTGAGTTACATGGTTCTCACTAGTGTATAAGATTCAAAATTGCGATTCCTGCACAGGAGAGGTTGACATAAGGAATATGTACTGATCATGCGTGGAGTTCAAGCTATAACATGAGCATGGCTGTTGGAAGGAATCTTGAGCAGTTCTAGTAGCTTTGAAAGTATGCGAAACTGGCAACATTAGCAGATGCAGTTTAATAGCATCTATAGCTGAAAAATTTTGTGTGTACTTCTAGGATTAAATTAGCATCTTGTACTGCTTTTTTTTGATGGTTTTAATGTACCAGTCAAGTTTTCCTTCTGACAAGCACTAAAAATATTTGGCCAAGATTAAATGGAAATGCAAAGAAGGAGATGTGAAGAGGGATGCTATCAATTTCTACAGGCATTGGTGAGAGGCTTGAGAATTTGAGCATGGCAAGCAGCCAATGAGAAAATATTGAGAGAAGGGCAGAGTGGAAGCTAATTCCTCCAAAGAGAGAGAGAAGTGTTAGGGGAGCATGTTATTTGGTGCTGGAGCTATGAGAGGGATTTGTGAGAGAGATGGAGTCCAGCGCCACATTCCTCACTAATATCATTCATTATAGCAACACAACAGTGAATACTTGGGCCAAACTCTGCAAGTGTTTGCTTCCTGGGAAATGCACAAAGTCCGTGGATGGTGTCATGAGCCAGCTAGAGCTAGACACAGGCTAAACCTTGTTTGTCTTTATCTGAGCAAAGTTATGGCTGAGGAGGTTTGAAATTATTGAAACTGGTGAAGCAGCTACGGTGTCCACAGCTTTCTCCACAATAAAGCAGCTGGCAGCTTTGAGAGCTGGAAAGGAGACGATCTTCGAGTATTCATAGCTAGCTTAACAGACACCTGTATTTCCCATGAATAGTGATGATGAGGAGCCGGATCTGGCAACCCAATTCTGTTCCCACTGAAGAGAGAGGCCACTAGATCACTCCTATATATGGCAGCAGGCTGGTTCAAATTCTGCCCTCAGTTATAAGTGGGCAACCAAGCAAATGGACACTGAATAGGTGCAACTGAGGGCAAGGCTTACATATGGGAGCAAATGCCATATTTGCATTAATTAGGAGCAAAAAAAATGCGCACTCATTTCCAATTGAACCTTGCTTTGAAATTCACTTTCTGTGGATTTTGTGCTAGTAAATTGGACTGTTTCCCTTGTGTAAATATTCAATGGGATATATATATATATCCTATTGAAAAAATATATATAGTGAATTCATTTAATATTTCACGTGAACGTTCACAGAGCATTTTAAAATTATTCATCTAGCTCATAGTATCATGGAGCAAAGATTAGCATTGGGAAGCTAATGTCAGGTTCTCTAGTGTCTATGAAGTCCTGACCAACAACATTTAGAGATTCTGAGAGCAGCAATTTCCAGCTGAGACTAATTTTAAGTTTTTTTAATTCTGAAAAATGTAGGGACTGAATTGGATTATGTATATTTTCCAGCAGGGTTTTGATTCTAACATAGCTTGTTTCAATGCTAATATAAACAATTTTTTGTTTTACTGGATAAACAAGCTGATAAAAAAAAATTAATTCATAATGTCAGAGCTGTCCATCTTCAAAATAATCCTTAGAAAGGGTTGACAGTTCTATTGGACTTAGATTTATAGAAGACAAGGGAAAATGTTAATATAGTGTAAAGAGGAGAGTGACAGATTAAAGATATACATGCTTTATTTACTGTAAAAACACAGATGAGATGCAACATCTATGGTCTGTTACTCACTTTAGTATTCAAGTACCAAACTGTCTAGTATTAAGATATTGTTGGCGGCTATACTTGATTGCTGAATAATGCTGAAGATTTTTGTAAAGCTCTAAGAACATGTGAATACCAAGTTGTTCCACATTGTTTTTCCATTCAAGACTATCTAGAGGAGGAACATGCTATAAACAGAGGAAAGTGAGAATTCTTTATCTCATCACATTCAGCTAATTGATTTTTCTAAGGTCATTCTGAATTCTAGATCTTCCCTGATACAAAGGAATGCTATATACCAGGGGTGTCCAAACTTTTTTCAAAGAGGGCCAGATTTGATGAAGTGAACATGCGTGAGGGCCGACCATTTTGCCTGACATTCTTTGAACCATTAAAATTAAATGCAAATTAACTATTTTATGCAAAGTTTATTGCAAACGGCATACTTTTATTTCGTCACATGGATGACAAATCTAAACAGGTGTTAAATCACTCTGCCTTTCATATCTGAAGGCCAGATGAAAAAAAAAATCCAGGAAGCTGAAATATATGTCAGGAACATTGTAAAGTACATTACATATTATTGGTAATAGAGGTTGTCTGTCAACTTTTAAGTTCAAAAAATATGAACAGGAACATAACACCAAGTATACATGTTGTGTCCAAATATATTTATAACTGATTTAGACCAACTGACATTAACTGAGATTTTACAATGTATTCATCTCAATACATATGGATTCGTTGGGGGCCATAAAAGATAGATATTGCCAAATTACCTGTGGGGCCGTATTAAACCAGAACACGGGCCGCAATTGGCCCCCGGGCCGGACTTTGGACATGCCTGCTATATACAGTCCATTGACATCAGTGGAAGCAGACCCTTATTTAAGATACCCAATAGGACTAAAGCTGATGGATAAGTTTTATGAGAGTGGTGAATTTATGTTATACTGGAAATCCCATACACCAGAAAGCTTTTAGAAGCAACACCTGTGGATTCTGCTGCTTTACTTTTCTTCATTTGAAGTTTTATATGGTCTTTGAATGGTGGTCTGTGACAGGGCAGACAGGCCCCACACTGAAGAACAGGGGATAGCCCAGGTCCAGCTGGCGGAGGAAGACCCACCCCTCCGACCCTGCTGGGCATGCTCCCAGCAGTGGCCGGGTATAAAGGCAGAAGGAGCGCTGCAGTCAGGAAGGCTGCAGGGTGAGGGAGGAGCCTAGGCCGGGCCAGTGTTCCTGCAGCCGCTGGGACCAGAGTTGCTGCCCGTGCCTGACCCTGACACGGAGAAAGCAGCCGCCGACCTAGGGCGGCAGGAGCGGGCCCACGACCCCGACAGGTCCGGCCTCAGAGGCGAAGTGGCCCGGGGGGAACCGGGGCGCGGTAGGAAAAAAGACGTTATTTTTTAAAACAAAAAAAAAAGCCCATAATCCTCTTAATAAAAAAAAAATGAGGAAGCCATACCAGAGATCAATAAGCTAGAGTGAAACAATTGTGCTAATTTACTTCTCAGTTCAGTTTTAAAAAAAACCTCACAAAATATAATAGGGCAGTAGTGTTAAATTTAAAATACATAGTGGAATGGGTTTTTTTAAGTGTGAGAATGTTAAAATAAGTTGAAGTTTGTTTTTCATTGTTAGCTTTTTGTGCTATAAACAGCCCTTAGCTAAAACATAATCTAATAAAGATACCCTGATAGAGGGGCCTGAACTTTTACTTTGGGACTTTGGGGTACTGTATAGGCCCGGTAGGAGGAGGCCGAACCCCTTGACAGGGGCGTACCCCCTGACAACATGGTGGAGAATGTGGGCACAGTCCACCCCTGAACCTAGGGGAGGAACAGTGGTGTGAGCACCCCAGCAGGGATAAAACCATTGGGGTAGAGGGAGCGAAATGGAGGCGGTGAAATTGTTGGAAGAGATGGCCGAGAGGCAGAGGGAGCAGCTCCTGCAGCTGAGCCTGAGTTTGCAGCAGTGGACAGCACAACAACTGGAGCAACAAGGGCAGCTGTTCCAGAAGCTGATGGAACGGTTACTAGCCCAACAGGCGCAGAGACTGCAATCAGGGGCGACAGCGGATATGCCCAGGTACCGACCGTGGGGCACAGGGTTCGGGGAAGCGGGCCGGAAAAGGCCGTGGCGGAGGTGCGGGTGGAAGGGACCCTGGTCATGGCCCTAATAGACTCCGGGTGTAGCCAGACCATGGTACAGGAGAACCTGGTAAAGAGCCCCGAAGCCGCAGGGGGTCCGATCATGCTACAGTGTGTGCACGGGGATATAAAGGCATACCTGATGGCCTGGGTGCGGATAGCAGATGCCTGCGAGGAGAGGATTTGTCAGGTAGGGTTAGCCCCCCAACTGGTGTACCCGGTAATACTGGGGCGAGATTGGCCCGGTCTCCGCAGGTTGGTCCAAGATTGGGCCCAGCAGGAACCTCCCGAAATAGGAAGACAGCCCCGAGGAGGGATGGTGGCCGCCCAGGGTGACATTCCCGAACCCGATGACGAACCAAGAGCTGAAGCTGGGACATCGAGCACAGCAGGACCCCCGCCTCGGCCAATAGATGAGGGAGATGGAGTGGCCGGGTGCCGGAGGGGACTTTATGCGAGACCAGAGGGAGGACCCGACGCTAAGCCGAGCCTGGGAGCAAGTCCAGGAGGCGGAGGATAAGGAGTCCAGAGGCGAAAGGGGACAGCAAGGACCGAGGTTTGAGGTCCGGAACAACAGGCTCTACTGAGTGGTCCGAGACCCACAGACGGACAAGGAATTCGCGCAGCTCCTAGTTCCCTCCAGGTACCGAAAGGGTGTACTGCGGTTAGGCCATGCCAGCCCCTGGGCCGGACACTTGGGCCGTGAGAAAACACTACAGCGGGTGGCCCAGAGGTTTTTTTGGCCAGGGATCCATCCTGAGGTAAGGGAGTTCTGTGAGTCCTGTCTCGAGTGTCAGCACACCAACCCAAAGGGAGTATCCAAGGCTCCCCTGGTGGCTCTACCAGTGGTAGGGGTCCCCTTTGAGCGGATCGGGTTGGACTTGGTGGGACCTCTCGAAGGCTAGCTCGGGGTGCCAATATATCCTAGTTATAGTGGATTATGCCACTAGGTACCCCGAGGCCGTGCCATTACAAACAGAACACAACAGCAGCTACCATAGCCGCGGAACTCCTTGAGGTATTCTCCAGAGTGGGGATACTGAAAGAGATACTGACTGACCAGGGCACCAATGTCTCATCTAAATTAATGGCTGAGCTGTGCCGGTTGTTAAACATCCGAACCCTGCGAACCACCGTATACCATCCCCAAACAGATGGATTGGTGGAACTTTTTAATCGGACATTGAAATCAATGCTTCGCAAATTCGTAGACGAGGACCCCCGATGGTGGGACAAAATGTTGCCGGCCTTGCTTTTCGCTGTGCGGGAGGTACTGCAAGCATCCACGGGCTTCTCCCCTTTTGAGCTCCTATATGGGCGGCAGCCCCGGGGGATCCTTGACCTCCTGAGAGAGGACTGGGAGGGGCAGGAGTCCCACGTGATAGGGATGGTCCCCTACGTGTTGCAATTGAGGGAGCGCTTGCAGAAGTTAGGGGAGTTTGCCCGAACCAACCTCTTGCAGGCCCAGGAGACCCAAGCCAGGTACTACGACCGAGGGACAAAACTACGAACATTCGAGCCAGGCGACCGGGTGCTCCTACTCTTACCCTCACAAGAGTCAAAGCTACTAGCCAAATGGTGAGATTGACGGGGAGGAAGAGAGGAGTACAGACGTATCACGTAAACTTGCTAAAAAAATGGAAGGTGCAGGAAGGACTCGTGATCGATCCCCGCCCACCTGACGAAGACTTGGGGCCATTGGCCGTCGGCCCACCCACAAACCAACCAGCCACCCTGGGGCAAGAAGTGAGCCCTGCCCAAGAAGACTAGCTACTCCGCTTAGTCCAGAAATATTCCCACGTCTTATCTACCCAGCCAGGCCGGACCAGAGTGATAAGTCATCATATAAGCACCCTACCAGGCCACAAGGTTCGGGACCAACACCGTCCCCTACCCCGGAAGATGTGGGGGCCGGTGCAAAGAGAACTCCAGGCGATGCTGGAAATGGGAGTGATTGAAGAATCACGCAGCGAGTGGCGCAGTCCCATCGTGCTTGTCCCGAAACCCGATGGAACAATGCGATTTTGTATTGACTTTCGGAAGGTCAACGCCATCTCAAGATTTGACGCCTACCCCATGCCACGCGTGGACGAGTTACTCGAGAGGCTAGGAAAAGCTCGATACGTCTCCACGCTAGACTTAACAAAGGGGTACTGGCAGATTCCGCTGACCCCGACCTCCAAGGAAAAGACTGCCTTCCCCACCCCGTTCGAGCTGTACCAATTCGTCACGATGCCCTTCGGCCTCCACGGGGCAGCCGCCACCTTCCAGCATTTAGTAGACCAGCTATTAAGCCCCCATCAGCTATACGCCACCGCATACATAGATGATATAGTCGTCTACAGCCACACGTGGCCAGAGCATCTCCAATACCTGGAAGCAGTATTAAAGGCCCTCGAGGAAGCGAACCTCATGGCGAACCCTGGGAAATGTCACTTGGGATGAAGGGAGGTGACTTATATGGGATACACGGTGGGGAGAGGGACGTTAAGACCCTTAGTTGACAAAGAACAAGCCCTACAGGAGTGGAAAAAGCCAACGACGAAGAAGCAGATTCGGCAATTTCTGGGACTGGCGGGCTATTATCGCCGATTCATACCCGATTTTTCAGCACTGGCGGCACCACTATCGGACCTGCCCCGGAATTCCATGCTGACAAAGTTATGATGGACACAGGAAAGTGAAGAGGCTTTCCAAACATTGAAAAAAACTTCTGGTGAAAGAACCAGTGTTGTTCCCCCCCAGACTTTGCTAAGGATTTTATCCTCCAGACAGATGGCTCTGAGAGGGGACTAGGAGCCATACTAGCCCAAGAAGTGGACGGTGGAGAACACCCGGTTCTCTATATGAGCCGGAAGCTCTTCCCCCGGGAGCAGAAGTACTCCACAATTGAAAAAGAGGCGCTGGCCGTAAAGTGGGCCATAGATGCCCTCCGATATTACCCGTTAGGTAGCCACTTCCACCTGGTAACTGACCATGCCCCCCTGAGATGGCTGCACAGTATGAAGGACACCAACCCTCGGATAATCCAGTGGTACTTATCCCTGCAGCCATACGATTTTGAAGTGGCCCACCGCCCGGGTAAGACTCACATGAATGCAGATTTCCTTATGGTCCCATAAGAAAGTGATGCTCCCAGGAAAGTGACAGATGTTAAGTTTTTCTATTACACAGTGTTGGTTACTTACAAAGTTTAATAAAAGTAGTAAACAAGTAAGGGTGTGTATGTGTTGAAATGGTCCATAAGACTTCTGTTACCATTGTACATAGGAAATGTTTCTGCAGACCCATAAAATAACAAAGGGAGCATCATGCACTCTTTCTAAATCTAAGTTTTAAATCACTGCTGTCCAATAGTATAGATTTTATCATCAATGAGAGACCTGAACTTTGTCTTCTCCCCAGGAACCAGGCTTCATTTTGTTTCTGGGTGAAACTAGGTTATTTTCCAGCTGAGATGAATGGTGCCTTGCGCAGTTGATGCGAGGATGTCTAACCCTTTTTTGTACGTGCATCTGCAATTCTAATGGTCTTTCTCTTGTGGATGAAACAATGCGTCTTTTTACTGTTCACATAAGCTTATTGGCCAGTGAGGTAGTGCAGGCCATCATGCAGCCATGGTTGACAGACCAAACATAGCCTCATAGCTTTCCCTGCTCATGTTATTTTGTATGGAAAAATATTTGCTTCTCCTTCAGTAAACTGGGAATGCAGCTCATTAGGATTTTGGCAGCACCTCCTTACAACCTTCATTTGCTTGTCTTTGAGATCAAGTACAACGGACCCAACAGAAAATGTAATTTGTAAAAATGAAGAAAGGACAAGGAGTACAATATGGATTGGGTCCTCATTTCTTTTTACTTTAAAATGTTTTGTTAAGGACTGGGAGAGCACCTTAAAACTATTTTCTAACATTACAACTCTTTGCTTAGCTGCAAACGGCTGAAGTGTTCTTGAAATTTGTTCTGCTTCTTTTTGGTCTCCTGCTTTGTAGCCCTGTCCCCTCTCTTCATGCTTTCTTGCTGCCAAAGAATCTAAAAGCTGTTAGGGGAATTGAGCACAGAGGATGTGATGTGAGATTTAATTAATAGCAAGGCCATTAACAAGATAATGCCTTGCATTTATATATTATTCTTCAATCCCCAAAGCACTCCAGACTACAGTAAGCTTTTCACTCGCCACTGAAATGCAGCCAAGTCCGGGGTGAAATTCTGCAAGTGTTAAGCAGTGGTATTGTGTACTAGTAAACAATTCCGAGATGAAAACTTTACCCACTACCCAGTTTATTGTATCAATGAAGAATGAAACTGTGTTTTACAAGAACATGATAATTTGATCTTTTTGTGGATAAAGCTCATTGAACATGACAATATCAGATCAGTTTTATACATTTACATGGTGAAACTTTTATTCCATTATGTCTGTTTCCTTTAGTCACAACTGTTGCCTTTCTATTTTTGCAAAGCTAAATAATTTCTGTACAAATATAAGAATGAAAAGAATACACTTGAATCAATGCTGAATCTGGCTACTCTTTACCCTTTTCAGCCTGTAGGTGGAGGTAGGAGAATTAAATTGAGGTTTGGTTCTTGTCTTCTGCCAACTCCTGCCCTTATTTATTATTTGTATTTACCAGTATGCCTAGGAGCCCTTGTCATAGACCAGCACTCCATTGTGCTAGGTGCTGCACAAACACAGAACTAAAAACAATCCCTGCCATAAAGAGATTTGCAGAGATGTTTTCGGTATTGGGCTTTGCCCAAGGTTCTATTTTCATGTCTTTGGAAGTAACAACAAAAATACCCAGACAAAAGCTGAGCACCTTTGAGAGTTGGACGTGCCGTGACGTTAGCGTATTTCACCTTGGAAAAGGAGTGTGCAGTATCTGTAAAGTGTGGAGGGGAGGTGAATGATGTTGGGAATGCCGTGCAAGAATAC